GCTAAGGATGTAGCTCCGTGTGAAGGCCCTGGGTTCAGTCCCCAGTACAGAAAGAAGGGGGGGCAGGGGAGAGGAAGCTCCCTGGGGAGCGGTCAGCCAGCGGCACACACCAGGCCACCAGCACAGCCCACATCTCGTGTCCCCTGTGGTCCCATCACTGTGAGCAGCCCCGTGTCCCCCGTAGGTGGAGAAAGGATCGCAGGACCTGACCAGGCTGAGCTGGGGACACGCCACGGGGGGGGGGGGGGGGGGGTGCAGGCTGCACAGCTGGAACGAGACTCGTGCTCAGGACTGCTGCCGAGAGGGGGGGGGGGGGGGGCCGCAGGTGACTTGCGGGTACCGAGCTGTGCTTCCCAAACGCCAGCCCGCACTGCTGGCCCTCAGGGTTTGCTCGGGCTCTGTGGACCCTGAGTGGCGCTGGTTTGAGCCCGACCCCTCCAAGGCCTCTCCTCGCCTGCTGCCTCCCGCCTGGCCCAGTGCCCGGTCCCAGGGCCCCTCCGCCCGCGCTGTTTGCATTCCTGGGGCCTGCGTCACCCTGGACAGCGGGCGTGTCTACACGGCCCGCCACCCCTTGCTGCTGGCCTCCTGGGCCGGGCCGGGTGGCCACGCCGTCACTCGGCAGGCCCGTGACTCACCCTTCCCCCCGGGTTCCGGGAAATGCCCTCCCCTGCCCCACTCAGCTTTCTTCTGCTCTAATGAGATGTTCGCTGCAAACTCTATGGCAACCCCAGGGCAGGGGAGCTGGGAGGGGGAGGCCAAGTACATGCCCAGGAGGGGCCCCGAGGGCTCCCACTACACACCCTCGCACACGCGTGCACACGCATTCCCACCCGCTTGGCAGCCCTGGCCTGAGCCCCCAGCCCGCCTCGGAGCTGTGGTCCAGAAGGGCCAGCCCCAGAAATGCTTGCTTTTATTAAAAAGGAATGGGCCCACAAAGGCACAACTGTAGGAAAGGTTGTAATTTGCCCAAATAAAACTTAATTTGATCCATGAAATAGCTGTGGTTTATTGTGTAATAGATGTGCTATGTGTTTCGATTTAATAGAAGCCAATATAATAGGGGGCCGGTGGGGACCTCAAGGGGCTGCTCCTTCCCTGTGCACAGTAGGGCTACACTGCGGCGCTGGCGGCCAGGCCCTGACCGAACAGGACAGAGAAGGGCTGCTGGGACCGCGGGCCAGGCCGCAGAGGCTCTCGGGAGACAGCCCCACGGCACGGGGGGAAGAGAGCAGGAAAGCACGAAAATCATCCTTTTTCCAAAGCAAGGCTGCGGTGAGTGTGGGGAGGGGGCATGGGGCCGGGCTCACTGTGGGGCTGCTGGGGAAAGAGGGCCGGGCCTGTCCCTCCGAGTGTGCAAGGGGTCCCTGGAGAGGGGTGGTGGGTACTGGCCGGGGTGGTGGGGAGCTGGGGGTGGGGCTCGCTACGATTGTGGGTGTTGCCCTAAGCACTTCCTGTGCGAGATCGAGTTTAATCCTCACAACAGCCTACGCAGCAGGTACAGCAGGCCCACTTTTAGTGAGGAAACTGAGGCAGGGGTGATGGTTTGCCTGGTATCACAGTTAGCTTTGACTATGCTGCCTCCTGTGACTGGGGACATACCCACCACCGGCCTGTATAAACCCCATCTCCCAGGTCTTCCTGGGGCTCCGATCCAGGATCTGGGGTGCTCCTAGCTCACTAACTCACTCTGCCAATTGTGTGATTTCCTTCAAAAAGGTCTTGGCTCCATTCAACCTAGGACAAACTCCTGAACCTCAGGTTTCTCATTTGTAAGATGAAGATATTCACACAGAGGCCACTGTGAAAGTTAGATGAGATTGCATATAAAAAGAGCATAAACCAGGGCCTGGCATTTAGTAGGCACTCCTTAAAGGCATATGTTTCTAATAAGCTCCACTGAGAATACCCTATGTCAGGCAAGCACTGGACATTACTTGGGAAGCAGACAGAACAAGGTGGATTTGAATCCCAAGTCTCCAGTTTAGTCACCAACTATGTGGACAGGTACTTTCTACCTCTCTGAGTTGGTTTCACCATTTAAACACAGACCATAATTTTTTTAAAATTTTTTTTTTTTGAGACAGGGTTTCACTATGTGGCCCAGGCTGACCTCAAACTCATGGCAATCCTGCTGCCTCAGCCTCCTGAGCGCTGGGATTACAGGCGTGCACGACCACACACGTTTTTATGAGCCTGCCTTGCCACTGAATGGCACACAGCATTCACTGTATTTCTGATTACACCCCGTAAGAGGCCTTTCCAGGCCTGAGTCAGAAAGCAGCAAGAAAAATGGGACAAGTGTGCTCAAAGCGAGAGGGAGGATTTCGAGGGGGCTGAAGGGCGATGTGCCTTTCACCGTAAGAAAAATGTTAAACACTGTCTATGTTGATCACTCCTTGTACAAACTTGAATTACACAAAGCGTGGGCCCCAGAAATGTCTAAGCGGGGCTTCAGCTTGGTTGTGGAGGCTGTTTTTGTAATTATGATTTATAATGAAGTTTAATATAATAAAGATACTGCATGACTTGTGTAGAAAATTTGAAAAAAATGTGGGAAACTATAAGAGAAAACCAATACAGACAGCATCCCTCACTCCAGTACTCACAGATTCGCTGGTTGTATTTTTTGTTTTTGGTTTTTTTTTCCGGTACTGGGAATCAAACTCACGACCCTGCGCTGGCCAGGCAGGCACTGTGCCGCTGAGCTAAATCCCCAGCCCCTCGCTGGTTGTATTTTATATTCACGTAGACGTGTATTGACAGCATCATATTAATACACATATGATGTGTATTATTATGATAATTAATTAATATACACATATTAATACACACAATATGATAATTAATTATCATTATCATGTGTATGTACAATTATCGTGTATAATTATTATTATTATACACATAATATGATAATTAATATGATAATTAATTAATACACATATTAGTACACATAAATTCAGCACCTTATACATGCCAGGACAAATTTAGCACCTGTGCATTATCTATGCATAGATGAAGCATCTTATTACATAGATGTAGATTTATCGTCTACTTTTTTTTTCATTCAACATCACAAAATGATGTGTTTTTTTCCATATAATTAAAAACACTCTAAAATGTGATATTTTTCTTCATTAAAAATAACCTATGCTGGGCCAGGGATATAGCTCGGCATAAGTGCCTGCCTGGCAAGCACAAGGTCCAGAGTTTGATTCCTGGTACCAAAAAAAAAAAAAAAAAAAATTTTTTAAAATAACCTATGCCTAGGATAACTTAATCAGTGCAGAAAAATGGAAAGTGGAGAAGAAGAAAGAAACCCCTTCTGCCCCAATTTGTGCTTCCTTTCCCCAGGCATAATTGCCAGTAACAATTACACAGGATTTTTTTTTTTTAGGCTGGGGGATGTCTCTAATTCCAGCTACTCAGGAGGCTGAAGCAGGAAGATCGCAAGCTCGATGCCAGCCTGAGCAGCTTAGTGAGACCCTGTCTGGAAGTAAAAAAGGGCTGGGGATGCAGCTTAGTGGGACTGCCCTATGTCCGATCATTGGTACGCCCTAAAAAATATATTAAACAGGATTTTTAAAGGCTACATAATATTTTGGCATGTATGCCACCTTCTTGTAATTTCTTGTTATTAGACATTCAGACCACATCAGAATTTTTTTTTCTATTATTAGAAAAGCAGCTGGGTGTGGTGGGGTACATTTGTAATCCCAGCACCTGGGAGGCTGAGGCAGGGGAATTGTCGTGAGTTAAAGGCCAGCCTGTACTATGTAGTTGAGATCCTGTCTCAAAAACAAACAAACCAAAAAAAAAAAAAAAAGAAAAGAAAGAAAAAGAAACACGTCTCAGGAAAGCTCCCCAGAGGCAGAATTACTGGAACAAAGGGCATCCATTTTTTCCTTTTTTGAGAAACGTTATTATGTTGCCCAGGGGATCCCCAAGCCCCTAGGCTCAAGAACATGAACATCTATAAGGCTTCAGTCTTTTCCGAAGTTGAGAAACTCATTTCCCAAGCCAGCCCCATGCACACTGAAGGACAATGTGCCATTCTGCTCCTGTTAGGTGTCACTTTAACCCCACGACATGGAGCACAACTTTTGGGGGGAGGGTGACAGTAATAGGGATGAACTCAGGGCCTCCCACATACGAGGTAAGCACTGTGCCACTGAAATACATCCACAACCCTTTTCAATTTCAATCTTATTTTGAGACAAGTTCATGCTAAATTGTGCTTTGGATCCTTCTGCCTCAGCCTCCTGAGTGCTGGGACCACAGGTGCGTGCCATCACGGCTGCCAGCAGTGCTTTTCAACTTCTGTTTGTCGAGCACTCACCACGTGCCTGGCCCCTCAGCCTCCTGCTTGGGGACACAAACACCAGCACTACCCAGCTACGGTCCTCAAGCAGCAACCAAGCAAGGGGGAAATCAAACCGCTAAACGTCAAACCGCAGGGGAGGCCTCAAGGGCAGCACCCAGCTACAGCAAGGGAGAGAGGGTTAGGGCCTGAGTCCCAGAGGAAGGGACTGAGATGTCAAGGAACTGAGAGAAACCAAGGCACACAAGCAATAGGTAACCCAAACTGGGTGGTGCACACCTGTAATCTCAGCTGCTCCAGAGGCTGAGGCAGGAGGGTGGCAGTTGAGTTGAGCCCAGCTTGGGTGACTTAGTGAGAATGTCTGAAAATTAAAAATTAACAGATCTGGGGTGTAGAGCAGTACTCCTTGGGTTCAATCCCCAGTATAGCAGCAAAACAAAACAGTACAGCAGGGCCAGGGGCAGCTGGCCCGGAGGCACCTGGCCCCGGTCACTTCAGGGGAAGACTCTGGATTCCTCTGCATACGAAGGTGGTTCATAGGCGACCCCAGGCCAGGAGGCCATTCTGTTCTCTCCACCCAGCCTCTAGGGAGCCCCACATCTCCCTTGGGGCCATCCTTAGCCCCCAGCAGTGCTGTCTGCAGCATCTGCAGCTGCTCAGAGCAGCGTCCTGCTCCGAGCCCCTCTGTCCCCCATCCTCTGCTACGAGAACTCGGCCCTCTCCAGATGCCCCAGGGAAGCAGGGCTGGGGAGCCCGGTGGGCACTCCAAGCTCACCCAGCCTCTGAGCCTCCCAAGGACGCTGTCCAGGCAGGGCTCAGACTGAGACAGGAAAGCTGCGGGCCAGAGCCATGGGCCTGAGAGGCTCCCAGCCCCGTGTGGGTACCAGAACCCAAGTGCTGGCTCAGAGCCGGCAGACCCAGGGCCACCACCGGGCTGTGTGACCTCAGGCCACGGCTTAGCTCTGCAGTTGTCTCTCTGTGACAAAGCATTTGGCAGGCCCTGAGGCGTCTCCTGGGCAGGTGACGAGCAAGGTTACCCGGGCCCCTTACCTGGGCCTTCAGGGCCCCAGACCAGCGCGTGGATCCCCACCTCCAGGCAGGTGGCAGCAGTCAGGAGCTGGGCTAGCACGCACCTTTTCCTGTAACTTCTCAGGTTTTTGGTAAAGTTAAGGCAAACGGCAGTCAAATCCTGGAAAGCAACGTGCCCAGGACACAGGTTCATTTCCAGGATCATAACACCGTGGCTGGAACGGGCTGATCTGACTGGAACGGCATCACCACAACCTGGAACAGTGTCCTGAGCAGTGATAGCCACAAGAGAAGGGCCAAAAATTTGAGGTATTCATCTGCCGTCACCAGGCAGGGGCCAGGCCCCCAGGAGGCAGCCAGGCCAGCTTCGCGCAGGAGTCAGGAGTCTGGAATGCGGCGGCAGAAACGGAGTCCTTGGCTTCATGCTGGTCTATGCGGGGCAGGTGTGGCTATGCCTGGGAGGTGACAGGTCCAGGCAGTAATGGGGACAGGCGTCTCCAAGGGGACCCACACAGGTCAATCAGCAGCTTCCACTCGTTTCTGGTCCAAGGCCCCAAAGAGGGGGCATGGTTCATCCGCCAGGCCGTGGTTTTCCAAGCGATGGACGAACCAAGCCACTGGCTATGTACAGGAGTCAGGAGAAATATGCCAAGCTTGAGCAGGCACCCATTGGCCAGAGCCAGGAGAACACACTGAGTTCTGGCCCTGGCTAGGAGACGGTGCCCACCTCTTTGTCCGCACAGCTGGCACGGAGGCTGAAGGGCCACAGCGGCTCGGAGGGCACCACTGCACTGGGGCTCGGCGCAAGCATCTGCAAACCAAGTGAGAGCATTTAGGGGAGCCTCTGTGAACCCCGGCGGAGCCAGCAGTTTCAATTTGGGGAGTGCACTGGGGAGCAAGGGCTTCCCAAAGGCCAGCGCATCCCCGAGGCCACCGGTCACCATCTCGTGGGTGAGATGGGGTGGGCCTCTGGTTCTGATTGAGCCACCCCAGCTGGGAACATCAGGTCACACGGTCAAAAGGCCTCTGTGGGTCAGGGGTCCAGTGTCTGAGAGCGCCCAGTAGCAAGCTTTAAAAGGGTGCGCCTGGTAGCGAGGGTGAGTCCCAAACTCTGCTTCAGTGAGCAAGGTCACTCCCTCCTGCCTCCCTTCCTGGATAGCTTTTCTCCCTCCAGAGACTCCTGGGGTCAGGAAAATGCAGGCATCTGGTCAGCAGTGCCCACCAGTCACCGGGTGGACGCGCACTGCCTCCCGTGGTGCAAAGGACCATGGGAGTTTCCCATTCTGCCCCTGAGCCCCTCTCGGACCCATTAACTCAGGGTGGCGGTTTGTCTGCCAGTCTCCAGAGACCAATAAAAGTTTGAGTCTCTCCCTTCCCCAGGTTTCTCGGTCTGCTTGGAGCTGAGCACCTGAACTTCGGCCTTCTTGGGGACATAGGGACTCCAGCCCCAGCCCAGTCCTTCAAGCAGCTGAGGCTGGGTTGGCGGTGGCAGAAGGAGAGGTCAGGGGTGACCAGGAGCCATAGCCACGCCGGCGTCTGGCGGGGGCTGTGGGATTGATGCCCACATGCCAAGCTGGGACGGTTCCCAGAGAGTGACAGCTTCTGAAGGAAGTCACCTGGAGCCTTGCTGGCTGTTAGCAATGTGGCGTTTTTAAATCTTTGTCGGGGCTCAACACAAGGGTTCGGGCGATGGACTGACGGCAGCAGTGGCTCTAGCTCTCCTTGGTCCATTTCTTACTCTCCCATGGGTCACCGCTGGAATTAGACACGCACCGAGCTTCCTCTGGGAATTTGTCTCAGGGCGATTCCCCAAGCAGGCCGAAATCCCTGTTGTAAGAGAAAACGGAACAAAAACCCTGAGCCCTTTACTATCACCACCAAATAGACCTGGAGTTGGGGCGGTGGGCTGCAGGAGGGCCGTTATCTGTCCTTCAGATCACCCCTGCCCCACCCTCCCACGTCCCCGTGGGCGTGGCCCAAGTGCTAATGGTGCCAGGTCCTGCCCGCAGCAGTGGCCTAGTGTCCCTCCCCGTCTGGTCTCAGGTCCGGGGCCAGCTCTGCGGCTGCTAGCTGAGAGGCAGGGGCACCCTCTTCCACCCACCCCCGCTCAAATCCTCGTTGTCCTCCATGCAGGAGGACTTGGGCCTGACCACGGTCGCTCTAGTGCCCCCGCCTCACCAAAATGGGCCTTGAGGAGTCTGGGGTTATGCCTCCTTTGCAAGATAAAAAGGGAAACTGTGCTAAAAAAAATACAGTAAGTGTTTAAAAATTTTTTTTAAATTTATTACCGTAAAAGACATACTGCCACGAGTCCCCCTTGCTTCGTTCGAGCACGTTTATCCCATCACTCTGGCCACTTTCTGAAGCAGTTCTGGAAGTCCTCTTTCGAGAGGGTCTTTGGTTGTGCTGCTGGGCTGCTTCAATGTCCTAAAGTGACTCCAGCCGTTTACCTTTCATGGTCATTTTGACTCTGGGGAAGAGGCAGGAGTCCCACAGCGTGAGATCTGGTGACTAAGGTGGAGGGGGACACACATGTGTTATTTGACAAAAATTGCAGCAAACGGCCGCTCCCTCCAGCAGTGGCAGCTCAGGAACGCAGCTGTGCCCAGCGGAGCTCCCACGGCCCTGCGGATGTCCACTTCCCTGCGTCTCTCCTCGCCCCAGCCACGGGAAATCCAAGGCCAGGCTCGCTCCACAAGCCTTTGGTTTCTGTCACCTGGTCCGACGCACCAGGGTCTAGAATGGGTCACAGAAGCCTGATGGCGTCTCCTGCTTGGGCCAGGCACGGGTCGGCCAGAGCCCTCCCCTTGTGGAGCACCCAGCTCGGACTCAAGGAGGCAGAGCAGACGTGGGGACGGATCAGCCTCAGCGGAAGCTGCTGCACCCTGTGCCGACACCCTGCAGGCTTTGAGGGCTCCGATCACCAGGGCTGGTGTGTGGTGCGGGGTCTTAGCTGTAGGCCTTGATGAGACCAGCGGACCCGGAGTTCACACCTCAGATCCCCTGAGTCTCTCCACCCCAGGGTGAAGAGAGCCCAGGAGCTTCCAAACTGACACAGGACCATCCAGCATCCTGGGGACCTGACATGAGTTTGACATTCATTGACACTGTAGACAGAATAAAGGAGGGGATTTGTGGAGTCAAAATAGTCACCATCGTGACTAGGAAGGGCAAACTCGCTTATTCCTTCTACAGAGGAGAAAAGAGAAGAGCAAGAGGCTCACCGTTAAAGGGTTGGCTTCAAGCCAGGTGTGGTGGTGCATGCCTCTGATCCCAGCACTCAGGAGGCTGAGACAGGAGGATCCTCCATGAGTTTGAGGCCAGCCTGGGCTACATACTGTGTTCAAGGCCACCTTGAACTATACAGTGAGACCCTGTCTCAAGAAACACACCAAAAAAACCTCCCAATGAAATTAAGGCCAAAAAAAAAAAAAGATGGCTCTAACGAAGCAGATAAAATAGAGCAAGCTAAAAAAAGAAATGAAAGAGGCAAAAGTACAATGAGGAAAAAGAAATTTTGAAAAGGTTTCTAAAACAACTCAAAAAGAAGTGGGAAGATTTGAGAAGGGACTAAAAGACTTTAAAACTGTTATCATCAAGCATTTGGAATCATTAGTACAAAACCAGCCATAGCTAGACAGGGATTTAGCTCAGGGATGCAGCTCCTGCCTGGCAAGCGCAAGGTTCTGAGTTCAATTCCCAGTACAAAAAAAAAAAAAAAAAACACAGCTGATAAAATCCCCAGGCTTTCCCACCTGAAGCTAAAGCCACTGCCCAGCACTGAGATTACTCCTGTTAGAAAGACACTGGACTCCACAGCAAAATCATTTAAAACCATCCGTCTGCCTGTCTTAGTTACTTTGCTGGGATTAACTTCCTCTCACAAGTTAAAAGGAAAGGTTTATTTTTGCCCACAGTCTGCAGAGGTTTCAGTCCATAGTCAGCTGGCTCCAAGGCAGGGTGGCACGGCAGAGGGGCATCTGGAGGAGAAACAGTCCATGGCAGAGCAGGCAGGAAGCAAGACTTTCTTTTTCTTTCTTTCTTTCTTTCTTTCTTTCTTTCTTTCTTTCTTTCTTTCTTTCTTTCTTTCTTTCTTTCTTCCTTCCTTCCTTCCTTCC